CAGACAGATTTTTGAAGCAGAAGACTCCTGACCTCACCATCGTGGAAGTAAACAAAGTATAGATCATTCAATCCCAGGTGGCAGCAGAATTGACGAGAAGCAACTCGAAAAGCTTACGTGATATGTGGATTTAAAGATTGAACTGCAAAGACTCTGGCACAAGCCAGTAAAGGTGGTCCCAGTGGTGATCGGCACACTGGGTACAGTGCCTCAAGACCTTGGCCTGCACTTAAAAACAATAGGCACTGACAAAATCACCATCTGTCAGCTGCAAAACACCACCTTACTCAGATCTGCACACATTATTTGCCAATATATCACACAGTCCTTGACACTTGGGAAGTGTCCAACGTCTGATCGAAAACAAAAGCCAGCATAGTGATCTTGTTTGCTGTGTACTCATCTTGTTGTGTATCAAATAATGATGATACTATGCTAATAGTATAATATATTGCATGAAAATATATATTGTAAGCCTCTCTTAGTCCCCTTCGGGGTGAGAAGGGCGGCATATAAATGCCGTAAATAAATAAAGAAATGATAATGATGGTGGTGATGATGATGTACTGAATGGTGAAAGTGTCACAAAGAACAAATAGTATTATATCAGTTACATTTATGCAACTTTATGGCAGTGGAGGATCCTGAGCCCCAAACAAGGTCCATTTCCAGGACCATCTTTTGCAGAAGCAGATGTGTTTCAGCTTCACTCCAGTTTACTTTATTTTCAGTATGAGGGCTTAGAACTGGAACGCATGAAGCTGTCACAAGGGAGAATAAATCTGCCCAGGTGCAAAGAGTATTTGGCTGCTGAATTCACATGCCTTCGGATAGAGTAACAAAGTAACGTGGCATGATTGTGTGAGCATTCATTTCATTTTAGGTGTCAACTGCCAGTAGCAATTGAACGAGAAGTGCTTTTATTAACTCTGTGCCACTGCTGGAGCCTTTTGTAAAACTGCAGAAAACAGCCATTGTTTGTGAAATGACTGGTTTCAGAGCAACGCGTGTTCCAAATGATGGAGCCACATTCTCCCAGTTATGCCTTGCAAACAGGGCGTTTGGTAATTTCCACCTTATTGGGTTGGAGAATCTGCTCTCAGGTGCATTCTGGAACTTAAAGGAGGTCTCCGAGACCTCATTAAGGTATTCCAAAATGCTTCTGGACCCAAATCCTTTGCAGAAGCTATGCTCCCCCTGTGTGAACTCCTTATGTCTGGTTGGCCTTGCTTTGCTTCTAAAAGGAGATCCTTCAATTCTTAAATGCATTACACTATGTAACACGATTTTTGTTCCTGGGTTATAAATGTCATTTCCTAATTGGTTCTATCATTAAAACATGGGAAAAGTTTATTGGACTGCAAAAACTTTGCTTTTGCGGGACAACCTGCTATAGCATATTTTGCCGTAGTTTTTCAATGAATTTCCCATCGAGTCTTAGCCAATTCAACCTAGTTTGTGGCAGCCACAAAAGCAAAGTTTCTGAAATATAACAACTAAGGTCAAAGTAAGGACCACACAGTTATATAGGAATAACACTTTCAAACCAGTAACATATTTTTTCATTTTTTTCTCTGGAATTTAAATCTTTATTTATAAAGTACTTGTTTGGTTCTTGCCTGGGTTATCTGAAAAAGTCAATTTTTAATTGTACAAAATGCATAAGGTTGTGAGTGAACTACAACTCCCATCACGCCAGGTTAACCCCAAGAAACTCCATCAGTACTTAAAGTTTGTTTTGTTGGGCAAGTTTGCTCTGGATGCATCATTGGTGCGGTTCAGTGTGCTCTCTGGCTGTAGGGTAAACTGCAACTCCCACTATGGTGAGTTAGTCTCCTCAAAACCCCTCCAATAGGTTGAGTTACTCATGGAAGGTTCTGTGTGTCAAGTTTGGTCCAGGTCCATCATTGGTGAAGGTCACGGTTTCTCTGGTTGTGGGTGAACTACAACTCCCAGAAAGGAAGATCAGTTTTCCCCAAAACCACTCCAGTAATCAAATTTTGGCACATCTGGGATGTGTGCCAAGTTTGGTCCAGATCCATCAGTGTTTGGGTTCACAGTGTAGGTGAACTACAACTTCCCCAAATCGAGGTGAATTACCCCAAAGACCTCCAGTATTTTTTGCTGATCATGGTGGCTCTGTGTGCCAAGTTTGGTCCAATTCCACCTTTGGTAGAGTTCAGAATTATTTATTTATTTATTTATTTATTTACTGCACTTGTAGACCACCGTTCTCAGCCCTAGGGCGACTCACGGAGGTGTACAACATATAAAAACAGGTACAATTTGCAACATAAGCAATATCACAAACAACAATAAACAACATCACTATCAATAATACAATTACACTAAATCATTCGCGACGTCTCATCATTGAATCACAATCCAAATCTCGTTATCCATGTTCCGTTCCAATCGTCATTGCCAATTGTTGCAGCATTTACTCAAACGCCTTCTCAAACAACCACGTCTTTAGTCTCTTGCGGAATGTCATAAGGGAGGGCGCCAGTCTGATGTCCACAGGGAGGGTGTTCCACAGCCGGGGGGCCACCACCGAGAAGGCCCTGTCCCTCGTCCCCGCCAGGCGTGCCTGTGAGGCAGGCGGGATCGAGAGAAGGGCCTCCCCGGACGATCTCAAAGTCCTCGTGGGCTCATAGGCCGAGATGCGGTCAGACAGGTATTTTGGGCCGGAACCGTTTAGGGCTTTGTAGGCCAACACCAGCACCTTGAATTGGGCCCGGTAGCAGAATGCTCTTTGATTCCAGATTAACTATAAATTCCAGTATTTACAACTCCCAAATGTCCAGGCCAATTCCCCTCAATACCAGCAGTATTCAAATTTGGGCATATTGAAACCGGTCAATATGCATGCCAAGTTTGATCCAGATTCAGCCTTGTTTGGGTTCATAGTACACTCTGGGTGTAGATTAAGTGCAACTTCTATAAATCCCTCCAAAGACCTCCAGTATGTTTTCTTGGCCATGGGGGTTCTGCGTGCTAAGTTAGTTCCAGGTCTATTGTCAGTGGAGTTCAGGGTGTGTTTAGATTGCAAATGAACTATACATCCCGGTGCCTACAACTCCTATGGTGATTTCTCCCGAAACCTCTCTAGTATGTTCAGTTGTTGACCAATTCCTCTGTTTGCTGTTCTCCATAGAAAATAATAGGAAAGGGTTATGGGAGAGGCAATGGGTGGGGTCATGCAAATTCTACACCAATGGTGAAAGTCAGAAACACTGGGATGTCTGTGGTGGAGGAAACACATAAAATCTATGATGGAATTGTTTCCATATGAAAGCATTCACTTGGGTGGTGGGCAGTATGGTGTCTGTGGAGGACATTGGCAGGACTCTTGGACCTGTTTAAGGCACTCTCTATAACCTGCAATGTCATTGGAGGGAGGGTCTTTTGTGGCTCCTTATGAGTGCGGATCATAGCTATTTGTGGATTTGAGAGCTTGTCTGTGCAAGTGAACACCCTAGCCACACACACATACATATTTATTATGTGTATAGAGATGTATATTTATTTACATACTGCCTTTGAGCACCTTCTCCATAACTGCCCTTAAAGTGGTTTAGAACAATAACAATAACACAAAATACAAGAAAGAAAAACAAACCCAAGATAGCACAAATAAAAGACAAATTAAACTTACCGAAAACCCGGGAAACTATATGTTGTCTTCACTACCCACATAAGAAGAAAAGAAACACTGGAAGGTATTAACTACGGTGAGCATTACAATTACTGAAAGCAGAGGTGGTTACATTGCAAATCCCGAGGCATAGTTATGCTGCTATGGATTTTGGTCGGAACCTATAATTTCTGTTAAGAAGGGCAAAATCGACCTTGAGAAGAGAAAGAAAATTACAGATCAGAAAGTAAAAAAAAAAATGCATGTTCTAAATGTTAGTTTTTATTTTGCTTCAATGTTTATATCTTACAAATTTGGTTACATAGTGTTATTAACAGGCATGGGCAAACTGACACCCTCCAGGTGTTTTGAACTTCAACTCCCACAATTCCTAGCAGCCTACCAGGGTGGTCCATGCCTTGGTCACCTCTAGATTGGACTACTGCAATGTGCTTTATGTGGGGCTGCCCTTGAAAATGGCTCGGAAATTCCAACTGGTCCAACGGTCGGCGGCCAGGCTGTTAACCGGCGCACCTTACAGAGAGAGGTCAACCCTCCTGTTTAAAGAGCTGTATTGGCTGCCGTTCATCTTCCAGTCCCAATTCAAGGTGCAGGTGCTCACCTACAAAGCCCTAAACGGTTTGGGACCCGCCTACCTGCGTGACCGCATCTCCATATATGAACCCTCACGTTCCCTTCAATCATCTGGAGAGGCCCTGCTCACGATCCCACCTGTGTCACAAGCGCGTTTGGTGAGGACAAGGGACAGGGCCTTCTCTGTGGTGGTCCCCCGACTCTGGAACTCTCTCCCCAAGGACATCAGACAAGCCCCAACGTTGGCAATCTGTAGGAAGAGCCTGAAGACCTGGCTGTTCCAGTGTGCCTTTCCAGATTAGGAAACTCCCGGCATCATGTCCCAAATGCACTTTATTAGAGACTAGGATTGTCTGCACATTGCACCTACCCCAAAAACCTCTACATACCTCATGTCAAGTTCAGCACTTTTAAATTTTATCCATTCACTTGGCCCGGCCTTTAGGTTTTTAAATGCGTTATGGTGTCATTGTTTTTAGAATTTTACTGCTTTGCTTGTTGTTTTATTATTTGCTTATGAGTTTTACTGTTATATTTGTATGTTGTTGTTTGTTGGCGGCCTTGGCCATTGTAAGCCGTATCGAGTCCTTCGGGAGATTTTGCAGGGTATAAATAAAGTTAATAATAATAATAATAATAATAATAATAACAAAGTTTGCCATGCCTGTATTAGAAGGCATGGTAAGCCACACACCTTTTTTGATGGTCTCCAAATGCAACAGGTTCCAGACTGAATTAAGCTGTGTGTGTGTCTGTCTCTCCCTCATAGGGCTCTGTGTGTGCCCAGCCATGCCCATCAGGGACGTATGGAGTCAACTGCAGCCAGGATTGCCCCTGTCACAATGAAGGGCAGTGTGACCATGTGACTGGGGTGTGCCTTTGCACAGCGGGTTACGTCGGAGACAGGTAGGTCACACTCACGGTGGCACTTATTTTGAGCTCTCCTTCATGGCTTTTATTGTCATATTCAATGCCTCGTGGTCCATGAATCTGATTGTCTTCCAAGAGTGGAGCCTTTGATGGTTCTGTAAGTACATGTAGAGACCTATTCTGGATCCACATGGTCTTTCTTTCACAAAGAAGACATACATTTCCAGATGGAAGGGTTTGCTTGATGCGCCTCCTTCCTCTTGACGTGTTTCTCCCTTTCGCACTCCATTGGTGCATCTTTGAATTCCACAGCACTGTTGGTCACAGCTGGCCTCCAGTTAGAACGCTCAAGGGCCAGGGCTTTGAAGTTTTTTCTCTCAATGTTTATGCCACATTTAAAAAAAATTATTAGGTTTTATCATAATACAATGAAAGAGTGGGAACAATAACAGTATAGAGAAAGATAGAGTCATATAAGAAAAAAAACAACAACATAAAGTTGTATAAAAAGTACAAAAAATACAAAAAGTACAAAAAATAGAAGAAAAAAAGAAAAAAGAGTAAAAAAATAGAAGAAAAATTGACTTCCATTCCATCTTCTTGGATAATATCTTCCTGTTACTTAAACAATATTACTTAAAAAAATTGTCTCTCGTGTCCTTTATTTTTGCAAGTTCTCCAGATAGTCATGAAGAGAGTCACAATTCGTTCTTTGTAAAGTATCATCAGTATTTTTCTTCAACAGAATAGTCAATTCATCCATATCCTTTATTTCTCTAATTTTTTCTACCTGCCCTGCTAAGGTGGCACTTATTTTGAGCTCGCCTTCATGGCTTTTATTGTCATATTCAATGCCTCGTGGTCCATGAATCCAATGCCTCGTGGTCCACATTTTTAAAGGTTAGCTTTAAACTCATCTTTCAGTCTTTTTTTACTAAACACTACAGGGGTGCATTTTTTTCCGTTTGTCCTCATAAGTCGTATAAAATTTGTTGAATTCATACATGACACAATATTCGACATGTAGGCATGGCCTGCACCAAAAACTTAAGTATCAAAACTTACTCAATACTTTTTCATTTGCATTTTGTAAATCTCCCAAAGTCAGCTTCATGTTCAGCGCAAGGAAACAAAACAAAGCCAAAAAGGCTGCATTTCCTCTTTAAATGAATGGCCTCTCACCATGAGGAGAGGGAAGCAGCAGGGAGAAAGCAGAGTTCGCTGGAAAAGAAAGCACAGAACTTTGGGAAATGTAGTTTGGTAAGGGGAGGGGTCCTATGCCAGAGAATGCAAAAGGCCCTGCCATGAACTACATTTCCCAGAATTCTGCGCAGCATCAGAAAGCCCCAATCAGGAGAGGGAAGAGATGTGTCCCTCCATTGCAGCGGCCAGCCAGAGTTACAATCAATTGTTGAATCTGCAAAGAGGAGGACTGATGGATACTTCAGTATTAGTAAGTAAATCAGTGCTGAGCTGGGAAGAAATCTATAAATGGATGGCCCTTGGGGGTCCCTTCCAACTCAGTAGGGGAAGTATGTGTGTGTGTGTGTGTGTGTGTGTGTGTGTGTGTGTGTATATATATATATATATATATTACTTTAGAGGCTGGATAACCATTTGTCAGAAGAGTTTTGATGGTGCCCTTCTGCCTGGAAGAAGGGAGTTGGACTAGATGGCCCTTGGGGGTCCCCTCCAACTCTAGGATTCTATGAAAATGTAGAATTGGTTAATATTGGTTCCTATTGGTTAATATGAGTGACATTAAATGAGATAACTGTTGTGGCTTCTTTTAAAAAAACATTTTGTCAAAGCTTTAAAAAAATCCCTAAAATCAATAGATGTATGAATATTTCTGAAAGTTGGGGGGAATGATCCCCTGTTATCTGGTGTCACTGTATAGAAAACAATGCTCTTGTAGTTTTTAAAATGTTGTCGATAAAAGTTTGAAAATTCCCCAAAGTGAAATGTTCCAAAACTTGATGGGAGTCAATCATCCCCAAACCCTCCTGTATTCACAGTTGGCCATGTTGGGTCTGGGTGCCAAGTGTAGTCCAGATGCTAAGTGTAGTCATAATTGGTGGGTGCCAAGTGTAGTAATAATTGGTGGGGTTTAGAGAGTTCTCTGGATGTGGGTGAACTACAACTCCCATATGCCAAGGTCCATCATCCCCAAACACCGCCTGCATGCACAGTTGGCCATGTTGGGGCTGTGTGCAAGTTTGGTCTGGATCCATCGTCGGCCAGGTTCAGTGCTCTCTGGATGTGGGGGAACTACAACTCCCAGAATTCAAAGTCAATTATCTTCAAACTCCGTCTGTATTATTTATTTGTTTGTTTGTTTGTTTATTTATGTATTTACAGTATTTATATTCTGCCCTTCTCACCCCGCAGGGGACTCAGGGCAGATTACAATGTACATATACATGGCAAACATTCAATGCCATAGACACATTCCAGCTTTTGATGAGGGTATTCTGGCCACCAGGAGAGCTGTCGTTTCACCGCCCATTTGTGACACTGATGAAGTATTTCCTCATTCTTTGCATTCTTGCTGGAGATTTTTATGGTGTTGCAAATTAGTTAAATTAGCCTCCCCACATACACGGTACCTAAATTTCCTACTTGACAGATGCAACTGTCTTTCGGGCTGCAAAGGTTGACAGCAAGCTGCACAAATTGGTCAAAAGCTCACTCCGGCCCGGGCTGGCTTTGACCTCATGACCTTTCGGTCAGTAGTGATCTTAATACAGCTGACTCCCAGCCAGCTGCACCACAGTTGGCCATATTGGGACTGTGTACCAAGTTTAGTCTGGATTTGTCGTCGGCTAGGTTCAGTGCTCTCTAAATTATTGTGAACTACAGCTCTCAAAATTCAAGGTCAGTCACCTCCAAACCCTGCCTGTTCACAGTTAGCCATGTTTGATCTGTGTGCTAACTTTGGTTTTAACTTTGGCTGGGGTCAGTGGTCTCTGGATGCGGGTGAACTACAACTCCCAGAATTCAAGGTCAATCACTCAGATTCCTACAAGGAATAAACAGCACCAGGGGCTATTGTGGGATAGTTAACCTGTCCACTTCAATGAACAATCAAGTTAAAATCCTTCCGTAAGAAGGATTCAATGTGGCAAACTAGAGCTGTCAAAAAAGAGAGCTATTCCCCCCCCCCCCCTTGATGTATGAGTCTACTATGTGTCGGAAGAAGCCTGAAGAGTTTTCCTGCTGCTGCATTATGAATCAGCACAATCCCTTGATGATGTTGCATGATTCCTCTAAATGTTGTGATCAGCTATCAAATATGCATCATCAGGCGACAAGGCGTCCCTCACGGGAGGACTGTACCATTACGTTCTATGTGAGCCTATGCCTTCATTTCCAGCAGAAAGCCCTCCCAAGCAATGCTTTTCTATGACAGCAAATAGATTTCATGGGAGGGTGACTTCCATTTCCATGGAGAGGTGAATCCACTCTGTGTTTAAGTCCGAACTTTTAAAGGAGATAGTTTGGACAACTTCTTTGAAACCTTGAGGAGATCTGTATCAGCAAAATGAGAAAGAGCAAAGCACTGGGACTTCACTTTTTGAAGTTTTCCAACAAAGCACCATCATTTCAACCACAATTGGCAATTTTTCCCTATATTGTACTTAAAGTTTTCTCCAGTTGTTACAATACAGGAACTCATTGAGTAATTCAGTGTCCTTGATACCTGTGTTGGGGGTGTTGACTTATGTTATTAAGAATGAGTTAACCTATAAAGTTCCAGGAGACCCTTTGTTGTGTTTGAGAAATGCTGCGTCTCCTAGGCCCTGGGAGGAGGAATCTTATGCAATGATTGCTTTTTATTTATTCAAAAGATGTATGAGGCCACCCCGATGTGAGCAAGCCCTCAAGGCAGATCGCGGATCATTAAAAAGGCATGAGTATTAATAAATAACTGCAGTCTCAAATATGAAATAGCACCAGGGAGCAATAGAACACAATAAAGAACATCCAGTGGAGAGCAATAAAGTACAAACCAGATTGAAACATCCCAGAATGATCTGTCAGATAGAAAGCTCTTTGCCTTTTCCTCCTGGAGCTACAAAGAGACCAAGTATGATGCCAGGCGGGCCTTCCTGGGAAAGGTGCTCAAATAAATTATGATGATGATATGATGATGATGTATTAGTAGTGGTATTTATTATTATTTTTACTTAGTAGTTGTATTTATTATTACTAGTTATTTGTAGTATTTCTTGCTGTTGTTATTTAATAGACATATTTATGATTATTTAGTGGTTATTATTATATAGTTATTATTATTTAGTAGTTATTGTTGTTGTTGTTTTTTACTGACACAAAAACACAATATGTCACAGCAAACAAGATCTATATGCTGGATTTCGTATCACAAAATCACAAGTCGAACACTTCCCAAGCATCTAGGACTGTGTGATGTATTTTCGAATGATGAGTGCAGATCCAAGTAAGGTGGCCTTTTGCAGTTGACAGATCATGATTTTGACAATGTTTATTGTTTACAAATGCCGGCTGAGGTCTTTTGGCATGGCACCCAGTGTGTCGATGACCACTGGGACCACCCGTACTGGTTGATGTCAGAGCCTTTGCAGTTCGATTTTGAGGTCTTGAGTTTTTCCAGTTTTTCGTCAATTTGGCTGTCACCTGGTATGGTGACAATCCATTTTTTTTCTTTTCCACAATCGTGACATCTGGTGTATTGTGTTCCAAAACTTTGTCAGTCTGGATTCGAAAGTCCCACAGTATTTGGAGGCTTCTACGGATAACGCCAATTCAGAAATGGAGATGAGCACCACCCCACAGAGTCGGACATGACTAGATGTAATGTCAAGGGGATACCTTTACTTTTCCTTTAGTCATATTTTTATTATTGTTGTTGATATATATATATATATATATATATATATATATATATATATATTAGTAATTATTATTATTATTTGTTCATTCGTTCAGTCGTCTCCGACTCTTCGTGACCTCATGGACCAGCCCACGCCAGAGCTCCCTGTCAGCCATCACCA